AATATTATTTATTTTTTTCAAAAATATGAAGATATATAATTATTTCTCTGAAATTTTAAAGGTACCATAATATATCCTTTGATTAATAAAACACAATCTTCATATACACCAATATTTTTTTTTTTTTCAAAATCCATACAACACTCACAAATTGTGTACATGTGTGTGTACGCGCGTATGTGGGGGTAAACCCCATTGGTATAATAAAATTATACCCCTTTGTTTTTTCGTTTATATCACCCTGTTTAAAAATCATTATCTGCTAATTATAGAAGTTCAATTCGATGTCACTATTCATGATTTTACTGATTTTTTTTTAACAGTACTCGATTTACACAAGTTCATTGTCGATTTTCAGAAGTTTGCCGTTTTTCACTTTTTTTTTTTTTTAAATATCCGTGTCACATGCTCATAAGTGTGTGTGAATGGTTCAAATCCACCCGGTGTATAAATAACCAGATGCAGCATCTAATTTCCCGGATACAACAAATAATACGTACAAAAAAAAATTAAGATATAACTTCTTTCTCCATTAATTATTTGAGAACATAAATAAATAAAAAGTTACATGAGGATATTATATATTGTTGATGCAGAAATCAACAATTACATAAAACATGCTTATTCATATACTATATATACATATATATATATATATATATAGTATGCATATATTATAACTAGCAATTAGCAGAGAATTGAGGTGGAGAAAGAAGGATGCATAGCTTATATATATCAAACCCTAGCATTGACAAATAGCCCAATGGTAGCAGCCTGAACCAACCCCAAAGTTGAATTAACCAGCGTCCCAACAGAGTTCACGGTGGCGGCAAGGATTCCGGTGGTGGCGTTGATCACCGGGCACACAACCGGGCTCAATGGAAGCTGCACGGTGACAACACACGGAAGCATAGGCAAGCCAAGGATAAGACCCGTAATCGCCGGAACAGTTATGTTGAAGCTTCCGTTCACATTGGTGATGCCGCTTCCGAGCACCCTAGCGCCAACACCAACTATGGTGCAGTTCAGGCTCACCGGTATGCCGGAAACTCCTTGGCCCGGGCAGTTTGCGGAGGGGGTGCAGCAGAGCGAGCCATTAACGGTGAGGCCGCGCAGGGTGACCACTTGGCCGTTGGCTAGTGGTGTCGAGGTGACGACAAAGAGGAACGCGACGAGGAAAAAGGCGGAGGCACGATTAATGTAAGAATCCATTTGAATTATATTATTTAAGCTAAAAACAAATAGTGTGTGTATATGTTGGTATTGTTGTTTAGGTGATGTGTTGAAATGGAAGGAAAGTAGAGCCCTATTTATACATGTTACAAGTTTTCACATTATTCTTTTTCTAAGTGTTATTTTGTTAGGTATGTTGTTAGCAAGTTTCAACTTGGGGCTAGGTTGGGTTGCACTATATATATATATATATATATATATATATATATATATATATATATATATATATATATATATATATATATATATTAAGCTTAATTAATTACTTTATATTCTATAATAATATTGGATAAAGTTATTACTTATTACTAGTAATAGAAAACTCAAGTTGCACAACTTGAGAAAAAAAGGCAGCCTACTAGCCCAAAGAGGCATTGCCTAATTATTTTAATATGAGTTTGCCCATTCATGTAGCTCATACTAAAATTATTTAAAATTTTAAAAGAAATGAATACCAATATCATAATCACTAGCGATATTCAGATACTTATCTGTATTTAGGGCACGTTTCGTGTCCGACACTTGAGGATACATGCCGGACACATTATATATAGGTCATTTTGCAATTTCTAAGAAGTTAGAAACATGCTTGATAGTAAATTTTCAAATATTTTTATTGCTATGTCCCTAATTATTTACATGATTTAATGGTCATTTGTAAATTGATAGTTAATGATAATATTTATTTTAAACATATTTGTATGAAAATATATAAAAATAATTTATATATAACTAAAAACTTATATATGTTTATATAAAATTTACCCCTATACTTTTAATAATTAGGTTTCCCCTAAGTTCTCATACCCCCATTTTTTGGATATGTCGTTTTTCCCTGTTCGTTTTCCCGTACCGTCGTTTGTGTCTCCCGCTACATAGATACTTATGGATACTTGTTTACCATTTAAAATTAGATAAATAAAAACTATTTTCTAAATAGTATAAGTGAGCAGTTTTACTATATTAACCACATAACAAGTTTATTAATATGTAAATTTTAGCTAAAAATAACATAAAAATAAATAATTAAAAAAAATAGGTTTTGCTACTTGCACATCATCGACATACATTCTCCACCTTAATTATATATTAGTAATAATGTATTTTATATTCGAATTCATTTGTCACATTTCCACCTTCAAAGTCATGAGTCATTAAACCATCCATAAATAGTATATAAATATCAAATTGATATTTATATACATGCATGGTTGAACACTCATAGATTAAATTAAATGGATTATCCTATTCATATAATAATAAATGTTAGCATATCCAAAACTAAAGAGGTAAAATCAAAAGTATACCAAATTAAAACCATGACGTACGGATAATATATCTTTTCTTAATATCATTTTCAAACCATAATGATGTCGGTAACGAATTTTAAATATGGATTAAATATATACCACCACAAACAGCTACGTATTTAGTTTGTATATATACTACACCCGGTACGGTGAAAGTTACATCGAGTGGATTTTTACTGCTGATCTACACACACCAATATGGATGTGTGTTAGTGTGCTTATGAACCGTAAAGATTATGTCTGGTGTAGTATTGAAGGGGTATTACGGTAAAATGATTAGAAAAGTAATTAGGGTTGCAATGACACTAGCCTATTATAAAATTGGGATATTGGGATTAATCCGAATCTAGATCTGTATATGCTCATGTTTGGCAGAACCTATGTCAGAAATTATTGCCAATTTAAACTATTTTTTTTCAAATTTGACTAAGGCTCCAATTAATGAATACAGTTTTAAACAATATATATATATATATATATATATATATATATATATATATATATATATATATATATATAACTTTTGTGATAGATTTGAAATTCTTCCTAGTTCCTACAACCCCTAGAAAAATCTTCCTAAAAATGTTTTTATTTTTTCTTTATGTGGAAAAATTGAAAGGGCCCCACCAAATGGAAGGTTTTTTTTTTTTGCCCAGATTAGGCCACCCTTTGAGTTATGGTCAAATTACGAAAACCCCTCTCATGTTTGGGTAATTACCTTAACTGTATATTATCTTACCAAAAAGACCCTTCTAGAGGTAAATTTAAGGATGACAATTCGGTAAAACCCAACCGAAATTTCGGTACGCGAACATTTCATACCGTTTACCGAACTAAATATACGATTTTGTACAGTAAATAACCAAATACATAAATTTTATGTAAAAATATTTAAAAAGAGGGGGTGGCTGTAGTTACCCAAACAAGAGGGGTTTTTTCATAATTTGGTCATACCTCAGGGATGGCTGTAATTTGGCATTTTTTTTAATCAATAAATAAGTGAGAAATGTATTAGGAGAACTTAAACGTACAAGAGTCAAGCTAATTAATGAGATGGAATTAAGAGAAGCAGCCCTAAGTGGCTAAGTTATGGGCAAGGTAGCACACACTTTTATGGACCATTTTAACCTTCTATGGACCACTTGGCTACAGTCAACTTACACACTACTACTTCTAGAGCGGCAACCCGAGCACTGAACTTAATTTTTTTGTAGTGTATACAAAGGTTAATGAATGAGCCAGCACAAAATAACTTGCATTGTATTTGTCGTCTGCGTCGTATTACTTTGTTAGTCGGTTCGGATTCTACGTGATATGGGCTCGTTTGCACACTTCTTTGGGCTTTATAAAGTTGACCCAAGAACCTCGAGATAAGAACAGTACATAAGCGTAAGGCCCAAATCGATGGAACCTAAGAGACGAAGTGCGATGTTACTTAGGTTGTCGGTGAGTCCCTTAGATTTTTATTTGGGGACTTCAAAATGCTAAAACCTCCTTGTTATATATTTATTGGTGTTGTGGATTCAGGCCCACAAGCAATAACAAGTCACACAAATATGAAAATCAAAACCAAGAAAGAACACACAGATACCACTGTGTTAACTCAACCGACTGAAAAACACCGTTGCAGATAACACAACTACAGTACCACAGATCTAAAACTGAAAGCAATAGAACAGATAAAGAACACAATATTTAAAGCACAATATTTAAAGTGGTTCGACCTGTATTACCACAGGCCTACATCCACTGTGCAGAGAGAACAAAATCCACTAGATCAAGAAGGTTACAGATAACAAGATAGTGATTACACTCAATCTCTCAACAGCTATTTCACCTAAGCTGTATTGACACTCCTCTGTGTATACCTCACTGTTTCTCTCTTGTTTCCCAACCCCAAATCTCACAAACCCTGTGAAGATTTCCTTCTTGCTTTCCATCTAGCTTCTTCTTTTGTTCTTGAGAGTTTCCTCTCTTTCCAGCCCCTCAAGCCTTATCCCCTTGATTTGGCCTTTTTTTCCAAGCCTCTCCACCAAGTGCTTTATATATGCAGCAAACCCTAGCAAAAAGCAACTTGGTCCCCAAGCAAATCACTGTGAGCTTGACAGGTGTCCACCACTGTCAGAGTGGTCCTCACGGGTTCTGTCTTCTAGTGTAACAGCTCCTTACACTTTCCAGCTCATCCTTTAACTTTACTTTAACTGATGCACCAGATAAAGTATCCACTTGGCATGTACACATGGATATGAGTCACAGAATAACAATTGGGTTATTATCAAATTTGAGTTTGAAGTCGACCGAATCAGTCGACTAATTCGGTTAACTTCAACGGCATATATGGAGTCATAGACTACATGTGGAGTTCGAATTATTGGACCTTACTCAAATGAAGATAAAGAGATCATGTGGAAAAATGAAATTTGTAATACTTTTAATTGAAGCCTAAAAAAGAAATGCTAAGCTTAGCTTGATTAATCAAGGCAAAAAACGACAATACTCGAAAAACTATTAAGTAGTGCAAATAAGGAGTCACAAAAATACATAATCGAGGAACAATGACAACGCCACCACCATTCAATATTCAAGAACTTAAAACCATAAAATCATACGATGAAAAAGGAAACTAGAAACCCGATACACTAGTCGACCCTGTTCATTTACTTTCTTTTTTTCAAAGATCATTTTTTTTTTTGCCAATATTGATCTTTCTAGATTTTACTAAAAGGTGGGGTTTTTTTTTTTTTAAGGCATCACTTGGCCATCATAACCTTAACAAACTCTTCGTAGTTGATTTGACCGTCACCATCCACATCAGCTTCTCTGATCATTTCATCGACTTCTTCATCGGTAAGCTTCTCGCCTAGGTTAGTCATGACATGGCGAAGCTCAGCAGCAGAAATGAAACCGTTTTGGTCCTTGTCGAACACACGGAATGCCTCTTTTAGTTCCTCCTCAGAATCAGTGTCCTTCATTTTCCTTGCCATGAGGTTCAAAAACTCGGGGAAGTCAATTGTTCCGTTACCATCTGCATCAACCTCGTTAATCATGTCCTGAAGCTCAGCCTCGGTGGGGTTCTGCCCAAGTGATCTCATCACAGTTCCGAGCTCCTTTGTCGTGATGCAACCTGCAAATGTTGAATGAAATTAATTGCGAAACTCGAACATTCGAAATTCGATAAGTTAAGTCGAATTGTGTTAGCAGATAGCATCTTAATAAACACACAGCAGATGTTGACCACCGCAACGGATGCAATAAATTCAAGTGATCTAGATCAAGTACAACAATTAAAGGCGCATCAATTTATATACTTAATACAAACGCCAGTTAAAAAAACGAACCCCACAATCATAAACAAGATTTTGCAATTGGGAATAGCATTTTCCGACACAGTATTCCACTTGGCATTCTCATCTGCGTGTTACGAATCCAAAATAAAGGATTTTCTAAACGCAAAATCAAGATACAGATTTGATCCCTACAGTAAACCAAAATTGTGTTACCTATGACCCAACCAAGAAAAGGTCGGAATAACACGAAGAATCGTGGTATTTAACCTCTCTCTCACCCCCAAACAGTTTCTCTCTTCATGTATCAAACCAAATTAATCTGTAAGCCTTACGAATAAATCTATCATCGTAAATCAAAGATGATTAAATTCATCATGGAAGATTTCACCTCAACAGATAATATATTTCCTGAGATAAATTCACATCAATTTCAAATAATACCTCAAATTTCCTTAACTAAATACAGAACAGAATAAAATTTAATAAAAATAATTATTTAAAAAAAAAAAACATCGCTGAATCAAAATGCATTAATTCACATAACAAAAGAACAATTGCAGTAAAATTGGAAAATTCTTCATATCAAAGGAAAATCCTACAGCTAAATACCGCTTCAAAAAGGAAATCAGATCTAAACAAAACAACAGAAAAAAACCATATCCAAACACACACACACACACAGAGATGTATAACACGTTTTCATAGAAGAAATTATGCAGTTTATAATGAAAAAAAAAAAACATAATCGGATCGAATCGAACCATCGCCATCCTTGTCGAAAAGGCTGAAAGCTTCCTTAAACTCAGAGATCTGGTCGTCGGTCAACTGATCCGCCATTTCTCCTTTTGTTGATTGCTTCGAAATTCAGCGGCTTTGTTTCCTTTTTTCCTTTGATTTACAGAAGAACTAGAGAGAGAAAGAGAGAGATGATTCTGGAGAGAGGTGATTGGGGGTCGTATTTGTAGGAAGAATGAAAGAGGCGTTATTTATGAGCTACAAAAGAGACACAATTCAACGGCAAAGAGAAATGTGGTAATTAACAAACTAATTACATCCACTATTTTCGTAATCCCTCTTTTTTTCACCTTCTTCGTTTCAAATTATTGTATGTTATGTAATATTCTTTTTTCTAGTATTTCCTTTTTCTCCCTTGTTAGTTTCTTATTGGAAAATTTTATATTTTATTACAAATAGCACTTTAGAAAATTGACAATTTTGTGTTCGACTTAGAACCGAAAATATGTTTGGCTAAATTTATTTTAAACAACCAATAAGCTATTACATTTGATAACGTAGCTATCTTAAGAGTTGATAAGTTGTTACGTCTTAGTTTTAGAATTAATTTTAAAGTGTTTGAATAGTGATCTTATAAGCTAATTTTAGAGATAGTTTTTTTTTTTTTTTTTAATATCTTATTGGCTATTTCAACTGCTTATTTTTTTTATTTTTTTTTTAAATAATTACCAAATAATTTGTAGGAGCTTATAAACGTTCGTTTTAACAGGGTATAAGCTTAGCCAAACACTCTCTATATCAAGGCTATGTTAATTATTAAAAATCCGTTTTATAAATCAACGAACCAAATTTGAAGATGTATTTCTTTTGATGATACAGAATATCTGCGCTCGTAGGACTGACTTAATTAGTGGAGTGAGAGTACGCAAAGACACATTATTTTGTCACACGTACGTGGTTTGTATCCTATAAATGGATATACATGTTATTGCACAAGAATAGATATTCATTCATCAAAATTACATTAGTTATCTATGAATTCATCGGTTATAAATATTCATAAGAATTGGTTCAATCTTGAACTCGAACTCTATTAGAAAATATAATTTAATAGTTCTTCGCTAAAACAAAATTACAAACAAACTTTGTTAACAAAAGAAATACGAAATTGAACAATGTAATAAAATGTATTTTTTGAAACTCAAAATGCAAAAGTATTAAGTTCAAATATTAAACTATTATTCCAAAAAATATGATATGGAATAAAAATGATGATTGTACGTGTGTCGTAGTCGTAGACTATTAAAACCCATTGACTAGTGGTGGGGTTGTTTTAATTTTTAAATTGAAAATTAGAAAAGGGAAGGGGATCCTTATTTCTCTCTCTTCCATTAGCGAAACGCGGTTGTCACGCGGTATCGACACGCTGGCGGCCCTCTTCAATTAATCATCCATCATCCATTCGTGCCTCTGCCACGTCACACTCTCTAAGCTGCTCAATAATTTTTTCTTTTTTAATTGGGAGAAAATTAAAATTTATTACTTTGTGGGCTTCTTGTTTGTTCCTTATTCGTGGACTAGCTTGGGATTTATTGGCCCAATTTAATGAATCAGAATGATAGTATATTATTTATTACATTTAACTATAGCATAAATATTACTACAATAATAATAAGATAAAAACTAGAAGTAAAACTTTAAATGAGCTTGAGCTCAACAAATTTAATTTGGGCTCGAGCCGATCAAATTTGTCAAACTCAACTCGACCTCAACTCATTTACGCCCTTAGACGAATGAATAATCGAATATTTTGTAAACTATAATACAAAGGAGCAAATATGGATTAGAAGGAACATGCATGAGTGACTGAGAATTGAAATTGGATCCTGGACATAAAAACCTAATCGCGAGCTTTTCACCAGGATAGAACATAGGCAAACACGAGGCATAATACCAAGATCAAAATCCCCGATTCAACATGAAACACTTGCATAAAGCCCGAACGTAATACGAGTAAAACAGTCTTTCCTAGGTAACAACAAACCCCAAACGAGAATGATATATTCGAAGGAAAAGAAAACGAACTAGAAAATGCTTGAAATCCGCATCACAAAAATACATGAATCAGAAAATAAAACAACCAATTCCACCACCATTACAAACACATAGTTTTCACTACTCAAGAACTGAACAACCACAAAACCAAACAACCAAACCAAAAAAAATAAATTAAAGGAAACTAGTGAAATATTAATCAACCCTGTTCATCAGTTTTTACCTTTCGAGAAAAAACTTTTCAAGATTTATCAGAGGTGGGGTGGGTGGGGGTGTAGGGGTGGGGGGTGCAATCACTTGGCCATCATGACCTTAACGAACTCGTCGTAGTTAATTTGACCGTCACCATCCACATCAGCCTCTCGGATCATTTCATCAACTTCCTCGTCGGTCAGCTTCTCTCCTAGGTTAGTCATGACATGGCGAAGCTCAGCAGCAGAAATGAAACCGTTCTGGTCCTTGTCGAAAACACGGAATGCCTCTTTTAGCTCCTCCTCGGAATCAGTGTCCTTCATCTTCCTGGCCATGAGATTCAAGAACTCGGGGAAGTCAATGGTTCCATTACCATCTGCGTCAACCTCGTTGATCATGTCCTGCAGCTCAGCCTCGGTGGGGTTCTGCCCAAGTGATCTCATCACAGTTCCGAGCTCCTTTGTTGTGATGCAACCTGCGCATAATGTCAAATGCAGTTGGTTGTATAAGTTTACATAATTAGAGATGAACAAGTTTAGTATATATATATGCTTTTTGTAGTCTAAATGTGGACTGTGGATACAAATTCGGAAACATAACCAAGAATGAAACTAAATGCGATCAATTCATGTCACACAGATCTTGTTTTTGAGCTAGATTCATCGTATGTATGCAACCAATCAGAAGTGATGATCTAAGACTAGGTCAATCTCGCAAACAAGTATATTATCAACCTGTGATCAAATGCAAGCATCAACGAGAAGGAACACCAATATCATAACTAGTCGAACAAAATAAATTCACTTAGGGTGTGTTTGGATTGAAGGATACGAAACGAATGGATTTGAAATGAGTGCGAATGTGAAGGAATTTGAAATCCACTACAATTGCTCAAAGAAAGAACAAAAAATTGGAGGTGTGGATTTCAAATCCCTTGTCAAATGACTCAATCCAAACAAACTCGGCAGATTTCACCTCAAATCCTACCAACCAAACGCACCCTTAACAATTTCACCCATGGCAACGATAATATATTATATATTATCACATCACATGCTTCATATCATGAAATTTTAAATGTCGGATAAATGAAAGTGTACTTTCTCCACAACACCAGAGATTTGAACCTTCAATAAACTACTGTGTGTGACCTAAGTTTCGAACTATACCTGGACACGAAATTGATAACAGGAAATACGAACATCAGAGAATCAATCATATTTTCCTGTAAATTCATCATTATTATAAAACCTAGACTCATTTTCAATCAAATATACTAAATCTCTTCATTTATCAAAGCAATCTGCTCTGAATCAAGATGAGCAAATTCACAGTGCAAATAAAAAGTGTAATATATAACAGATACATATTATGAAGACGAATCCTCATATACAACTAACTGAAAAAACAACTGCGCATCAAAACTGACTAAAAACCACAAAAAAAATCCAATCAATCGAATCACTGCAGCAAATATCAAAGATCGCAACAAGTACGATGCGATAAAAACAAAGTCACTTCAAAAACAAATCAGATCTGAAACAGAGAGAGAAAATCCACAACCGATATACAGAGAAACGACAAACATATATACACAAATACATACACACAAGCATAAAACGAATTATGTATGAATAAAATTGCGGAAAACGAAAAAAAAAAAAGAAAAAAAAAAAAGAGGATCGAATCGAATCGAACCATCGCCATCCTTGTCGAATAGGCTGAAAGCTTCCTTAAACTCAGAGATCTGGTCGTCAGTCAACTGATCCGCCATTTCACCTTCTGTTGATTGCTGCTGAGAAAATTCTCGGCTTCTTCTCTCTCTCTCTCTTCTCTCTCTCTCCCCTTTGATTTATGATGGGTTTGGAATAAAAGAATTGAGAAAAAGGGAGATACTCTGGAAAAATGAGATAATGGGCTCGTATTTGTAGGAAACAACGCGGTATCAGCTCTAAACTAGGCACCAATTAAATAAACAAATCATGGTTAGCAACTTCTTTTTTTATTTTTATTTTGGTTTATTAATTAAAACTTAAAAGAACCATAGTATAATTAATACTAATGTATACCAAATTTGTAAAATTATTATTGAAATTTTTATTTTTGGATCATTTTTTTTCACCACACGATTTATTATTGAAAATTTATTTGAATTTCATTTAGTAAATCGAGATTAAACAAATATTTTATTAATCGATGACATATAAAATTATTTTTTCTTTTTTTTTGGTAATGAAAGAATATGCAGCCAACTATATACAAAGGTGGATTTGGTAAATCATACTCGTGTTATAGCTTGCAAATTATACGAGAGATGTAAATACAATATTTTAATACTGTGTAACAAGCTCGACCTAGCTCGGTGAGTGAAAATCAAATCAAATTAGTCAATATTCAATTTGATATTTTTGTCAAGAGATTAATTGATAAGCTAATGGGCTAGCTATTGGGCCATCCGGTAAGTTTTTATGTTTATCCTAGAGTGGTGGACCGAAAATAAGTCAACATCACCCCCACATCCCAGGGCCCATTCATAATTTTTATATTTATATAGGGAAACTACATTTTTCACCTCTAAAGTTCGCATAGATTTCACATTTCGTCATCATGTTCACCAAAAACACATTTGGTCTCTCATGTTCCAATAATTTAACACTTTTGTTACCGTTAGTTCGTTAGTTAAGTAAGTCGTGGAACACGCTTGATTCCGTTAGTTTTAACGGAAAATTGACGGATATGACTAAAAGTGTGATTTTTTGAAAAATAAGGAAATCAGTGTGGTTTTTGTGAACATGGGGGACCAAATGTAAAATCGGTGCAAACTTGAGAGACGAAAACTGTATTTTTCTCTCTATATATCAAGATTCTAAAAGGCGGTTATCGGGTACGTGGCGGTTAGGGACCGCCACACGATAAATCGGCGCGGCGGTGATTTATCGGAGATAAATCGGAAATATATCGGTTTTTAAATTTAGTGTAATATATTTCGAAATATTATTTGTAAATACTCAAAATATATATAAAAGAATATTTAAACATAATTCTATCCTATCATTCATATGTTATTATATAATTCTAATTACTCAATAAATAACAAAAATTTAAAACTAATAAGATCGTAATATATGAAAAGATTCTTACGAAATACAAATACTAAGCAAGTCTTTCGCATCAACAATTAATATAAACACAACAAAGCATAAATTGCGGGGTAGTACTTGGTTTGGTTTTGGAAGTTGAAAGAATTGGAGAAAAACAAAAAATCAAAACATATTTTCATTTTAATTTAAATTAAATTAAAAAAAAAAAAAAAAAAAAAAAAAACCGATTTGTTGACCGATATATCGGTTTGACCCGCCAAAAAACCGCCGCAAACCGCCTCACCGTAAAAAAACGATATTCCAAACCGCCTCAACAAAATCGTAAAGGTTTATAACCGATACCGATATGGCGGCCGATATATCGACCGCCACGACCGCTATTTAGAACACTGCTATATATAGCAAATTTCCGTCAACACCCTAAGGTAAGACAAAATCACGAAAATCTCCCTCTTATTTTGGTAATTACAACACCCATCAATTATGTTATTGTCTTACCCATTCAACCTTACGAGGTAAATTTGCCTACAAAATTAGGGTTTTTTTCGTAAGAAAATACATAGTTAATGGATAATTGTAATTAACCAAATAAGAAATTAAAAAAATTCGTAATTTGACTTTACCTCGGAGTGACACGTAATTTACCCTATATATTATATAAATTGAAATGTACACTTGATAAAGATCAACTACTATTTATAAAAAAAGGGAGAATGTGAGATAACCCCCTAGTTTTGAAAACATATATGAGGAGGTTCAATAGATTTTTTTGTTCTAGTAAAAAACTCAAATTATAATCTTAATTTGACAGACCCCCTAGACAATTTGAAATACTTGTTTTACCCTTATATAATTAGTTTTTAGAACCATGTTGTTACCCGATTCATTCATCGTTCTCTCTCCACTCCCCCAAACCCTAGCCTTCTCTTTCTCACGATGCCCTCTCTTCTGCCGCTCGCTGCGTTCTTTAAAATAAAGCATTATGCAAGGAGTAAAGTAAAAAGGTTATTATCTTCAAAGCTCACATTTTTTTTTTGAGTAAATCTTCAAAGCTCACATCTAATGCAACAAAATAGCAGGCTATAAGCATTGTGGTTGGTTTTTTTTCGTTTCGTTGCTCTCTTTTTTCCCATCAATTTTTGTGTTAATCAATTTAATTATTAGTAGTCTTTTGTTAATTTGTGTTTCCTGAGTTTGAAATTCTAAATTAATGGAAACCATTGGTCTTTTCTTTGAAGGTGTCCAAAATTTGATTGAAGCTGTAGATGAATTTGGAAAATATAGTCAAACTACAAATTACTATTGTTATATATAATAATGTGTAGTAATATATAGTAACATGTCGTAACATATGCATGTGATTGTGCATATTGATCTGTATTTATTGGTTATAAATTAATATATCATGTAAATATTTAAATTGAACTTGATTTTTTTCTCACATGTCTTCGTGTTTGACAACCTCTATGTAATAAGTTTTTGTCGAGAGATCGGGGTTGTTGTCGTATTGAAACGTGGGATTTGAAGCTATATACCACAAACTACACTATATATGACTATACTCATATAGTCACATGTGGTCATATACATGTAGTCATATATAGTCACATGTGGTCATATATATACAGTCGCATGTGGTCATATACATATAGTATATATAGTTACATGTGGTCATATACATATAGTCATATATAGTCACATGTCGTAACATGTAGTAATATATAGTTATATATGACTATACTCATATAGTCACATGTGGTCATATATATATAGTCATATATAGTCGCATGTGGTCATATACATATAGTATATATAGTTACATGTGGTCATATACATATAGTCATATATAGTCACATGTCGTAACGTATAGTAATATATAGTTATATATAAACTATGTGTTTTTTCCAAGGTTCTAAAAGGCGGTTATCGGGTACGTGGCGGTTAGGGACCGCCACACGATAAATCGGCGCGGCGGTGATTTATCGGAGATAAATCGGAAATATATCGGTTCTTAAATTTAGTGTAATATCTAAATATTATTTGTAAATACTCAAAATATATATAAAAGAATATTTAAACATAATTCTATCCTATCATTCATATGTTATTATATAATTCTAATTACTCAATAAATAACAAAAAATTTAAAAACAATAAGATCATAATATAATAAAAGATTCTTACGAAATACAAATACCATGCAAGACTTTCGCATCAACAATTAATATAAACACAACAAAGCATAAATTGTGGGGTAGTACTTGGTTTGGTTTTAGAAGTTGAAAGAATTGGAGAAAAACAAAAAATCAAAACATATTTTCATTTTAATTTAAATTTAAAAAAAAAAAAAAAAAAACGATTTGTTGACCGATATATCGGTTTGACCCGCCAAAAAACCGTCGCAAACTGCCTCGCCGTAAAAAACCGTTATTCCAAACCGCCTCAACAAAATCGTAAAGGTTTATAACCGATACCGATATGGCGGCCGATATATCGACCGCCACGACCGATATTTAGAACGCTGATTTTTTCTGATGTATAGTGATGTTGATGATTGTGTATATCCATTTTTTAGTTCGGTACTAATTGATTATGATGATTTGTTCTTTGTTGAAGAACATATGCATGTAAGAGTGTATTTCGATCTATATTTGTACAAGTTGATTTATAATATCAAGATTTAATTGTGATTTTTGTTGTTGGTGTCGGTGAAGTTCTTTTTGTATATAATCAGCGGTCTACATAGTCGGTCGACTATATATAACTATACATGAGTGTATATGACTCGGGTGAAGAGAAGGTACAAGACAATATATATAACTTTGGAGGAAAAACAATGTACATGATTATATATAACTATACCTGACTATTTAACATGTACTATACTATAGTCATCTGTAGTCAATTTATGTACAGGAAATTTATTTAAAAAATATTTAAAAAAAAAATAAAAAAATTAACAAAACAAAAAAGTTAAAAAATTAAAAAATTAAAAAAGTTAAAAAATTAAAAAAATCAAAGAATTAAAAAAAAATAAAAAAAATTAAAAAAATAATAATTAAAAGCAATTTTAAAAAAATAAAAAATAATAAAAAAAATAAAAATTTATAATATTTTATTGAAAATCTGAAAAATGATGCAGGTCCAAAATGTTGAATGCAGTTTCCTATTGTGTTGAATGCAGTTGGAGAAATGCTGAATGCAGTTGGAGAAATGTCGAATGCAGCTGGGCGAAAATTACAAATAAGGGCACAATAGTACTTTTGCCTCTCCAAGGGTATCTCAAAGAAAGAATTTTAGGAGTGGACTTATCCAAATATATTTTCCATTCTATGGGTGTATATCAAATGGCCCATATTGATGCTGCTCAAATGCTATTTGGACAACCCAAAAGTCCTTGAGCCCACAAAGATAGAGAATGCCGTGAGTCACTGCCACGTGTTCGAGGTAGTCGAAGGGACTGCTCCGTTCGTTAACCTACAAAACAATTGAAACACTAGATAACACGTCGGGTTTGGCCCGACGATTATCTTCCGACGCTCAAGTCAGAAGATGTATTAATATAAGCAAATAATAGTAATTAATTGCCAAATTAGAGTGTACTTTCCTATGTGAAATGACACATACATTTATAGGTTGATGAGTAGGTAGGACTTTTGTAAAAATCCGATGTGGGACAATGTGTTGTCATTTTTAAAGGCAAAAAATAATCTAATTGAGTTTTCAAACACAATTAGATTAATTAGGGCAATTTGGGCCTAATCTTAATTAGGTTTATGGGCCTAATTATGATTAGACACATCATTAAGCCCCCCACTTCCAAGTTGGGTCATGGGCTTG